TTTAGTAATAAAATAATTAAAGAAAAAGTTATTTTAAACAAAAACGGCAGCTGCTTGCCCCATGATTTCCCCATCCCTTAGCTTTGCTCTTCAGGGTCAAAAACTTTTAATTCCTTTAGGCATTTTCGCCTACTGTTCAGCTCTAGAGTATTTCTTAATAACTTGCTTTCTCTGCTCTTCGCTCCCCTCTTTTGATCCCTCACCCTCTCCCCTGCTGAATGTCTCTGATTTATAGTTTGCCTGCTATTTTGTTTTTGCTTTTGTTTTTTTCCCTGATCCGTTGTTTGGTTCCCATCTATTTCTCCTATAAGTGAACCTGAGAGGAGAAATCAAACGTGCAAAAATGAACAACAATGTAAAATATAGATGTGTAAATAAATTTAATAAAAAAAACTTGCTTTCTTAATTGACCAGTTTTATATCATTTATGAGGCTATAAATTATTCTATCGGTTATATATTGACTTCCATAAAGATAGCTAAGGCTTTAACTGTTATCTAAGCATGTCCTCTCTCTTCCCATTTTCCCAAAATAGCTAAATCACGATTACGGGTTATCTCAATCATTGCTATTTACAATGCGATGACTATGTAAATGTTCACAGCAGAAGCAAGTAGTACTCTGTTCTTGCATAACTCTTAGGTCCTAGAGTATTTTGCTTAATTTCTGTTAATTATCTGAATCACTACATTTACTGTCTTTCCGTGTAACTTTTTACTTTTTCCACAGTTCACAACTGCTTTTGTTTTTCTTTTTCTTTAACTTTTTGTGTATCTAACAAAATATACATCATCAGAGTTGACAAGCATCTACCCTATCAGTATTCTTTTTGGAAGTGACCAGATATATTAGATAATCTACCCATTTTCTACTTTCCCCTCTTTTTTCTCCAGAGACAACCTTTTATAGTCCTTCATCCTCCTGCTCCAGTATGAACTTTTTTTTCTAGTGTCTGAAAACTTCATATGATAAGTCTTTGGTGAAGGAAGACGTTTGGTAGAACTGACACTTACTGGATTCTTTCCAAATCCTAGGGAATTATCTACTTATTATAAGCTATTTTATATAATCATATATTAAAAATATATATTTAAAAGTAACATATAAAGACTGCTTCCATTTCTAGTTGACAAGGTTTTCATAGTAGGGTGAAGGGAATGTTTCTGATGAGGGATAAAATACTACATCTGGATACCTGAATGATTAAATGCATGTCTAGTGATTAAAAGTAGCATTTGTTAATATATATTTCAACTCCTATTTCTTGACATGTATATTAACCATAGGGTGTATTACCTGAATTTTGAAACCCAAAAATTATTAGGAATATATGCTCTCAAAGTCATAAGGTCACTATGAAACTAGTTTTTAATATAAGGCCATTAAGTATAACTACTAAGCACATGATATATTTTAAAAGCATGATACAAAATTTGCTTTATGTACTTTTTATTAGCTACACTAGAGGTACTCCACAGTAGTGGGGAGTTAATTAAACTAGTTCCAATAACAGCTCTCCTCTCCCACATCTCAGTGCCTTCTATATGCAGAGTATTTGGTTAATTTCTTTTTTTTTTTTTAAAGATTTATTTATTTATTTTATACAAGAATCAGGGTGCAGGCCAGATGTACCGGAAGGTGAGAGGATTCACCAGCAACAGAGCGGGGAACAGAACAGGCAGAGTGATGAAATACACTGCTGAGGGGAGCAGCTGGTGAGACAGGAGAGGTCTGCCATGCCATGAGGGACCCTCGCCGGCTGGCTGGGATTGAACCGGTGCTGTAGAGGCTGCGGCCAGCTTCACAGTGCAGCGCTCAACCGCCTGCGCCACCAGGGCAGGCCCTATTTGGTTAATTTCTTATTGTGTGCTTTCAGAGAAAGCCAATAGCATTGCTTTACCTTTCTTTTTTTTTTTAAGATTTATTTATTTAAAATCAAATACTTGGGAATTAATCTAACAAAAGAGATAAAGGACCTATACAAAGAAAACTATAAAATACTGTTAAAAGAAATAGAAGACGACACAAAAGAAATGGAAATACATCCCCTGCTCATGGATTGGAAGAATTAACATCAAAATGGCCATCCTACCAAAAGCAATATACAGATTCAATGCTATTCCAATAAAAATTTCAATGACATTCTTCAAAGAAATAGAACAATTATTGATGAAATTCATATGGAATCACCAAAAACCCCAAATAGCCAAAGCCCTTCAGAAAAAAAAAGAAGGGAATGGAGGCATCACACGCCCAGACTTCAAACTATACTACAAAGCCATAATCATCAAAACTGCATGGTATTGGAACAAGAACAGACACACAGACCAATGGAATTATATAGAAAATGCATAAATAAACCCACAGATTTATGGTCAACTAATATTTGACAAAGGAGCAAAGAATATGCACTGGAGCAAAGAAAGTTTGTTCAATAAATGGTGCTGGGAAAACTGGGTCGCTACATGCAAAAAAATGAAGCTTGACCACTACCTCACACCATGCACAAAAACCAACTCAAAATGGATTAAAGAACTAGACATAAGACCTGAAGCCATAAAATACATAGAAGAAAATATAGGTAAAAGACTACATATGCACATCAAAGACATCTTTACAGACACATCACTGAAAGCAGTGATAGTGAAGGCAAAGATAAACAGCTGGTACTTCATCAAATTAAAGAGCTTCTGCACAGCAAAAGAGACAATAACCAAAACAAAGAGAAACCCCACCGACTGGGAGAACATTTTTGCACACAACACTAGTGATAAAGGACTGATCACAAAAATCTACAAAGAGCTGATGAGATTCAACAAAAACAAAGAAAATAATCCAGTCAAAAAATGGGCAAAAGAGCTAAAAAGAAACTTCTCTGAAGAGGAAATGCAAATGGCCAACAGGCATATGAAAAAATGTTCAACATCACTTGTAATCAGGGAAGTGCAAATCAAAACTACCATGAGATACCATCTTACACCAGTGAGAATGGCACATGTTAAAAAAAACTAGCAACAACAAATGTTGGCGAGGGTGTGGAGAAAAAGGAACTCTCCTGTGCTGCTGGTGGGAGTGCAAACTCGTCCATCCACTATGGAGAGCTGTGTGGAGATTTCTGGACCTACTAAACATAGAGCTTCCATATGATCCAGCAATTCCACTCCTAGGTATTTACCCAAAGGACACAGAAACATCAATTCCAATGGGCACCAGCATGCCTATGTTTATAGCAGCACTATATACAATAGCTAAGCTATGGAAACAACCCAAATGCCCAAAAATAGATGACTGGATCAAGAAGATGTGGTACATAAACACAATGGAATATTACTCAGCAATCCAAAAAGATAAACACATGCAGTTTGCAGCAATATGGATGGAGCTAGAAGGGATCATGCTCAGCGAAATAAGTCAGAAAGAAAAAGAAAAATACTGGAGGGTCTCAAGAGACCAGGAGAAAGACTAATAAATACAAAGTAGAAATCAAAATCAACAAGCAACTATATACCAGAGACACACTATGGGGGCTGGGGGGAGGGAGAGGCAGGGAAAGGATGGACTAGAGTCAAAATAAGGGGGGAGATGCAATTGTATGGGGAATATAACCAAAATGAAAAGGCATACAATGTGCAAAGATGAAAAAAGATGTAAGAATTATATAAAATAAAATATTTAAATAAAAAAAAGATTTATTTATTTATACAAGCACTGTGTACAGTCAGAAGCACAGGAGGGTGAGAGAATTCACCAGAGCCAGAGCAGGGAGCAGAACAGGCAGAGTGACGAAGTACACTGCTGAGGGGAGCAGCGGGTGCGGCAGGAGAGGTCTGCGAGCCATGTGGGACCCTCGCTGGCAGCCAGGGGTTGAACCAGCACTGCAGAGGCTGCAGACAGCTTCACAGCCCAGCATTCAACCACTGCGCCACCAGGGAGGCCCAGCATTGCTTTACTTTATGGAATTAGAAATTCAAGCCATTGCAATTCATGATTTGATTTCCTCAGGGACTTCTTGTTCTCAGATAGTCACTCCTCTCTAAAGGAGTTAGTGTTTTCTTGGACAGTATATATACTTGGACTCTCCAAATCTGGAAAGGTGTTGATTCTTTAGAGAAGACTTTTTTTTTAGTATGTTTCAATGTATTGTCACTGCATTCCTTTTGAGATTGTTGCAATTCAAGAAGCATGCCATTAAGTTGAATTATTGTAGAACATCTCTCCGTTCATTTGATTTATTTCCTGAGAACATTACTGCAAGAAAAAAAGTATAACCTTTATAAACAGATATTAAATATGAATGATCACATCCTTCTCCCAAAATGCACTGCTCTTGGAATGCCCCTGGCCTCTGTCTACATGTGTAGCTTTGAAGCAACTACACATCTCAGGATGCGCTACCACTTCACCCTTCCTTTTCTGTCTTCAGCAGTATTGTCTGCTGACGATTGTGGATAGACATAGGACTGGTGAATCCCCAGGGGCAGGCATAATATGCCCTATTTGCCTGAGTTTTTGTTTTTATTTTCAGTTAAAGAGTTGGGTAGCAGTGGGTTCATGCTGAGGACTGGTGGGGACAGGGAAACACCCACTGGGGATTATGGCAGGATTCTTGGCTATTTATCAAAGATGTGGTTGCTTACTTCCTGCTTAATGTCACAAGACTTATAAAATCTAAGGTGCTATTCTAATATCTCTTTTTTAGCTCAAGTTACTTCTACATGTAGGGACAGTGTTTGTGGTTTATTGGGTGCGGTAATTCATTCCTATCAGTGTTGTGGGGCATTTGCTGGGATTTTAGTATGTGTGATTGATTCTACTTATTCTCTAGGGATGCTGTGCATTTTCCTTGTGATTTTGAATACTTTATAATGAATAATTTTGTTACTTGGGTGTTTTGCGTAAGGGGTTTCCTGGTGTTTGCATTTATATTGTATCACTGGAAGCTCACCAAAAATATATGTGTTCACTTAATCAACTAACTATGAAAACTTTTGTTTTATCAGTTAGATCCAACATCACTTCTCTCTGAGGAACAGTTAAGGTATCTCCTGGATGCATGCACATTGAAACAAAAATCCATGATTAAACTTCCCTCAGATAGGGAAAAGAAAGACATTGAAGACATGGCCTCCGCATTCCCCCACCTTTCCAGATCCGTCGTCTCTGAGTTACTACATGAGTCAGAAACAGAGGTCAAAGGCACTGAGGTAGAAGATGTAAATATACCTGGGAATACAGAATATAAAACATCTAGAGGCTATTATCTCAGCAAAGCCTTGAGTGGGCATTACATGTCACAAACTTTTGTCATGGAAGCAAAGGATATGCAGATTTCCAAAGACGAGGTTATTGGTGACACAGAAGACTATTTTATGTCAAAGACTCTTGGCATTGGGCGACTGAGAAGGCCTTCTTTCTTGGATGATCCGCTGTATGACATCAATGTAAGCCTCCCATCTGAAGACCAACATCTGAAAGTCAGCCCTCCAGAGAAACCAGAAACAGGTGAGGCTTGGAGAAGGTGTTTTTGGTGAATAGTTTTTTGCTAAGTTTCTCAGTATAAAGGTATTATTGCAGTTTAAAGTAGAATAGGATACTGAGATATGTTTATGAGTCATAGATAGTGTCAGAAGCATGAAATCTAAGAATGACCCTATTTATACATGTTTGTATGAGATCAAGGTTGGGGCTGGTACTTTTATAAAAATGTTATTCTTAGTTGTAATTAATATATACTCTTGGAGTGGGGTATCCAGAAAACAATTTGTTGATTTCAGAGGAAAAGAAAAGTTAGACTGAATGAAGAAAATGATTTGAATAGATTTGCTAAGTATTTTAACTTCCAAACCTCGGTGATGGACATTCATTCCAAGAAATTAATTTGTAAAATGCTGTATATCATTGTGGTTATTTCAGTTTCTGCCTGCAAACTTCCTGTCCCAGTTTCTCATGTATTTTCAGGAATTTTGTCATGATTCAGTATTGCAACTTCCAGTGGTATGATGGTACAAGGATGCAAACCTTGTATGCAATAAATATTCAATTGTTTATTTATGCTAGAAATATGAGGCAGGGAGACAAACAAGTTTCTCTGTGCTGTGCCCCCAAGCAAACTTATTTTTTTTAAAGATTTATTTTATTTATACAAGAACTGGGGTACAGACCAGAGGCGTGGGAGGGTGAGAGAATTCTCCAGAGACAGAGAAGGGAGCAGAACAGGCAGAAGGACTGAAAACACTGCTGAGGGGAGCAGCGGGACAGGAGAGGTCTGCTGCGCCATGTGGGTAGCTCCCTGGCCGGCAGAGACTCGAACCCGTGCTGTGAGGCTGTGGACAGCTTCACAGCACTGTTCTCAACCTGCTATGCCACCGGGGAGGCTCCCCCAAGTAAACTTATATCCATTTGGTTACTGGCAGAGATGGAAACCTCAAGCCTTATCTGCGGATACCTGCCCATGTAGAATCAGTAGTGTGGAGGAACAAAGAAGTACCTTTGGGGGCAGGGTATGGTGGGAAGGAGTGGGGTGCTGACTCCCCCTGAGGAAAGCACTGGGCTGTGCATGCTCTTTCTTCTGTACACTCATCAATCAGGTAACTGACTCTTGTTTCCATGGGGAGAGTGGAGGAGGCTGGAGTGGGACTCGATGCTTTCCCATTGTAGGTTTCTCCACTGGAAAGTGTGAAGGAAGTGGGGAGTAAGTGTTCTCTGCTACCACTTAACCTTGGAGACTCTAATGAATACACTGCAGAAACAAAACACTTCATGTCTGTTGTCAGTCTACTATTTAATCAAATTATTTTATGCTGAATTATTTTCTAGATAATAAGAACAAAAATGTACAGCATATTTTTCTCCACTGAGCATTTGAGCAAGTTATCAACACAAATTAATGTAATAAGAGGAAACTGAATGACAAAAAATAAAAATAGAATAGGACAGAAGGGGCACAAAGTGAGTCATATAGTAAAGAAGGGGACTGAACTATACTAATTCTTGAAGGAAAACAGTGGATTTTCCCATAGGATTCATTTAGTGAACAGTGTTCTTAAAATTTTCTATATTAATGCAACAATGAATTAGATAAGTTTATTTTTAAAAGGATATACTTAGATGAAAACTAGGGTGACTGAATTTGTTTGGGAGTGTCCTGGTTTTAACCACTGAATGTCCATCTTTCCAGGAAACTTTCAGTTCTTGGCAAACTGGGATGGTTGGTCACTCTAAATTGAAAATAAAACCAAAGAGCAAATTAACTACCCAAAGGACAGAAAGAAAGAAAAATTCCATGCTAGTAGTAGGATCCCAGGCCAAAACCCTGAGGAGCAGTAGGATCCCAGGCCAAAACCCTGAGGAGCAGGCCAGTATCATCTGGCCTGCTCGTGAGGACCGTGGGCTCTGGGTGATGAGGTACAACCTGATTCGAATCCTTACTCTGCTATTAACAGGTGATGTTAGGCATGCTGCTTAATCCTTCTCCCCTTTGCACCTTTGTTTCCTTGTCTATAAAATAAGATGACTCTAGTACTTATCCTAAGGGGTAGTTAGTGAGGATCCATTGAAAAAAATCCATATAAAGTGACTATACCATTGACTGGACGTGGTTGGCTTATGTCGGAGTTAACCTTTAATCAGGAAATTTCCTTTAAAAGTCTGGATTTCTGACTTTAAAAAAAAAACAAATAACCTTTCTTCTAAAAGAAGAAAGGGGTAGGTAGTCTTGTATTTGCTGGAGGGCAGAATACCCACCCAGCCCTCTCTACTTCAAATGTTCGGCCTTTGTGAGTCATCTGATTAAGTGTTTGCTGCTTAGAGTATGTTCCATTCCCTGGGGATTCATTAGACTTGCAGGGCCTGTGGCCCCACCCCAAACCTACTGAATCAGAATTTATACTTTAATTTTATAAAATCGCCGGTGAGGGCCTTCCCTGGTGGCACAGCGGTTGAGCGCTGGGCTGCCCACAGCTTCTGCAGTGCCAGTTCGATCCCCGGCCGCTGGTGAGGGTCCCACATAGCGCGACAGACCTCTCCTGCTGTGCCCGCTGCTCCCCTCAGCAGTGTACTTAATCATTCTGCCTGTTCTGTTCCCCGCTCTGGCTCTGGTGAATTCTCTCACCCTCCTGTGCTTCTGACTATACCCAGTGCTTGTATAAATAAATAAATGAATAATAAATAAAATCCCTGGTGATACAGTGGAATTTGAGAAGCACTGTTACAAACCACAGAGCATTTATTGCTAACCAAGGTGAACATTAGGATCATCAGGGTTGCTTGCTTGTTTTATAACTGTCCAAAGCTCCTACCCAGACTACTGAAATCAGAGTCCCTGTTATAGAGCAATTAGGCTGATGCAGCAATGCAAACCATAAGGTTTCTCTGTGCTTATTTGAGAGATAGGGGTATCAGTTTACATATAAGAATACTAATGATCTGTTAGGGTCCTCAGGTAGAACAAGTTCTACCAACAGCAACTACACAGAAGTTAGAATATGCTGCATGCTAAAGTTCTGCCCATTAAATGGTCTGATTGTTACTTATTTGGAGAAGCCTGGTTACAGGTGGATTGACTTTTTTTTTTACTGGGGTACAGGCCAGAAGGGGAGGGGGGGTGAGAGGATTCACCAAAGACAGAGTGGGGAACAGAACAGGCAGACTGACTGAAATACACTGCTGAGGGGAAGCAGTGGGCGAGTCAGGAAAGGTCTGCTGTGCCATGTGGGTAGCTCCCTGGCCAGTGGATCGAACTCGTGCTGCAGAGGCTGCAGATAGCTTCATAGTGCTGTGCTTAACCCCTTGCGCCACCAGGGAGGCCCTGGGTGGATTGACTTTTGAGAAGGCTGTTGCAGTGGTTGGAGGGGAGTGTGTGTTGATGTATGCCACCTGAACAATTTCAAAGGAACTAGATCTTTTGAGAAACTTTTCTTTGTTGTAATGAATGGTTTGCAGTGGAGTGGTGAGATTCTAAAAATAATAACATTATTAGCTTTTTTCCCCATTAAAAAATGTTTTGGTGTGTTCATAGTGAAATATGTAACTCATCATTGCCTTGCTGGAGTTGTGTTTCTCTCAATCTGTGTCTCCAGACCTCCTACATATTACTTGAAAAATTACTTTTCCAAGGCTACTAATTGCTTCTCAGATGTCCTTGGTGACTTAATTAACCCTTATCCACTGGGTTTATTTGATCACAATATCAGAACTGCCATATTAATATTTTTAGTGTTAATTCCTTTTTAATAGAAAACTTAAGGGCCTCGCTGGTGGCACAAGGGGTTAAGACACAACCAGAGACACTTTTTGGGGGGTGGGGGGCGGGAGGGGAAGGATTGGGGTCAGAATGGGGCATTTGCAATTGTATGGGGGAATATAAAAATAAAATTTAATATTAAAAAAAAAATGTTAAATCTCAAAAAAAAAAAAAAAAAAAAAAGACACAACCTGTGAATCTATCCACTGTCACTGCAGCACGAGTTCTATCCCAGCCAGGGAGCTACCCACATGGCGCAGCAGAACCTCTCCTGACTCACCTGCTGCTCCCCTCAGCAGTGTATTTCAGTTGATATGCCTGTCTGATCCCCGCTCTGTCTCTGGTGAATACTCTCACTGCCCATGCCTCTGGCCTGTACTCCAGTTCTTGTGTGCATAAATATATAAATCTTTTTTTAAAAAAAGAAAACTTTAGTTCATAGTAAGTTTTTATTTGATGAATATATCTTTTCAAGTTACTTTCAACTAATTTTATTTAATCCAGTTCTTTTTGAGGTAGACTTTTCATGTAAGTATTTGCCTCTGATTATTTTCTCTATCTACTTATAAAATATCACACATTATCATTTTGTTTATAGTATAAAGTGAACAATGGCATGTTTGAAAGTGTTGATAGTGAATTGTAATGTGCTTTTCACTCTATCAGTTAATGAGAACTTTGGATTACATTGCTTCATGCAAAGTCAGTAAAGGGAAAAAGTGACTGAAGATAATGACTATAAACTAGATTTAGGAATCAGCAGTTTGGTATCACTTAGGAGCATGTGAGAAATGCAGAGTCCCAGACCCTGCTTCAGCTCTACTCTATCAGAGCCTGTATTTTAACAAGATTCCCCAGCAGGTGATTTGTATGCATATTAAAGTATGAGAAGTTCAGAGTAGACAGTTTATGAGTCTTCTCCTTTAGGATGGTAAAAAACAACAGCATATAGAGTGGTGGTGAAATAATGTCCAGAAAGTATCTTCTTTCCCATCTGCTTAGTCCCTGCCTTTTCTTCCTAAATTTCATTTTTAATGAAGACACTAATCTCTCCAACCAGCCCTGTTATCCTTCCCCTGGGCAACCTTCTCCACAGTCACTGAGAGGAAGTATGCCTTCATATGGAGTTCTCTACTCTTTTATGGTTAACATTTTTATTTGGAGAAACCTATAGCCAGTATGGGATCATCTGTGTTTTGTATAATTTTGATGTTCAGGTCTCTCTCCTTGGTGTCTGCCTAAAGTCTGGATGGCATTTTAAATTATTCTGAGTCCATCCCTCAGGAATTGCTTCTTACACATACTATCTGCACATTAGAATTACCTGGTCATACTTAGAACAGATTGCCTTGGCTCCAGCCCAGAAGAATTAAATCAATTTCTAGGGGTTGGCTAGAAAAAATACATTAGTATTTTTTTAAGCCAGTTTCTGAGGATGGGGTCTAGATGATTCTGTTGTGCAGCCACGCTTTCATACCACTGCTCAAGCCTCCCCCATGTTCATTCATCATCCATGTACTGTCCCTGCATCCCATAAACATTTCATGATCTCCTGCTGTGCTAGATTCTATTCTTAGTTCCAGGGCAGCTTTCTCATACTCAGCAATATTGCCATTTGGGGCTAGGTATTTCTTTGTTGTGAGGGACCGTCCTGGGAATCAGCATGTTGAATAGTGTTCCTGGCCTCCACTTATTAGATGCCGTAGTATCCCTCCTAGTGTGACAACCAAAAATGTCTCCAGACATTGTCAGATGTCCACTGGGAAAAATTTCCCCTACGTAAGGACATTGCTCTAGGATATCAGGTGAGTTGGGCATAATCACTGTTCTGAAGAATTTCATAGTCTATTGATAAAGGCAGTCACTTAAGCAAATAATCACAGCAGGGTAGAACAAGTAAATAAGAACTTCGGGACAAAGTGCATGGCAACTCCGCAGTGAGGATGATAAATTCTGAGGAGATGCGGAGGTGGCATTTAAGTTGAGCCTGCAAGGATGAATATTCGTGTACTGGGTGAACAATAGGAGCACTCTAGAGAGAAAGAAAAGCATTTATGAAGGCATGGGGTCCTGGTCCCATCAACCCTTAGCTCATGCATGGGCTTGTGGTCTGTTTGTCAATCATCCCACCTTCCTCTTCATCCTGTTTAAAATTTCTTCTGTGCAGGTTGACAATATCAATACATTTGTCACTTCACTCCCTCAAACTACAAATCATTTGGCTTTAAGTATTAGGTTGATTCTTTAAAAAAATAAATTGTATTATTTTTTACTAAGGTTTTGTTGGTTTACAGCACTGTAAAGGATCACACCTCTTCAGAAAAATGTTACCACACCACGCCCACCACCACAGTACCCATAGTCCTCCATTATAGCCCCTTAGACCCCTTTCCTCCTATGCTTCCAGCCCTCTCTTGCCCCTCCGGTAACCTTAAGTCAGAGTTCTAGTGTCCATTTTGGATTAGTTTTGTCTGTTTGTTTGTGTTTCACATTTCAATGAAATCATTCAGTATTTGCCTTTTTTTTTTCCTGACTCATTTCCCCTAGCATAATCCCCTCCAGTACGGTGATTTTTAAAATAATAGCTTTATTGGTATATGTTTCATATACCTGTATTAGCTTCCTATGATTGCCACAACAGAAACTTACCTCAAAGTTCTGGAGACCTGAAATCTGAAATCAGGGTGTCAGACTATGCTGGGAGACGTAGAGGGGAGAATGTCTCCTTGTTTCTTTCAGTTTCTCGGGCTATTGACGTTCTTTGATTTCATCATTTCAATCTCTGGCTGTCTTCACATTGCCTTTCTCTTTCTCTTTCTTTCTCCCTTCCTGCTCCGCCCCCCCCCCCCGTGTGTGAGTGTGTGTGTGTGTGTGTGTGTGTGTGTGTGTGTGTCCCTCTACTTCTCTCTTGTAAGGTAATTTTTTATTGAAGATAGGGTCCACCCAGATAATCAGGATCATCCTATCTCAAGACAGTTAATTACATTTGCAAAACTCTTTTCCCAAATAAGGTAACTTTCACAGGTTTCAGGGATTATGATGTGGACATATCTTTGTTGGGGCCACCAGGCAGTGGTTTTAAAATAGTCATAGAGTTGTGCTTCCCTCATTACTATCATTTTTACATTTCCTCACCCACAATGGAAATGCTGTATCCATTAGTTAGCCACTGCCCTTTTCCCTCCAAACCTCCACTCCTAGGCAGTTATTATTCTACGTTCTGCCTCTATAAACTGCCTCTATAAACTTGCCTAGATTGGATTTTTGATATAAATGAAATCGTACATTATATAGCCATTGTGTCTGACTTATACTGAACTTAAGGTTTTCAAGGCTTATACATTTTGTAACATGTATCAGTACTCCATTATTTTTCATTTTTGAGTAATAGTTTGTTGTATGGATATCCCACATTTTGTTTATCCATTCATCATTGATGGACATTTGGTTTGTTTCTACTTTTGGCTGTTGCATATAATGCTGCTATAGATATTTATGTATGGGTTTTATGTTTTCACTTCTCTTGGACATATATCTAGGAATGAATGAATTGTTGGGTCATATGGTAACATTTTGAGGAACTACCAGACATTTTCCATAGAAGTTGTACCCTATTTCGTTACCTACCAGCAATGTATGAGCATTCTAATTTGTTCTGATTCTCTTTTATTGTATTCTTTTGATTCTGTTGTCAATTCTGCATTTTCTGATAGACTTCACACTAAGATTAGAAGAATATTTCCACTCCATTTCTATTAGTGTCATATTTTTTACCTCACACTGATGAAATAAAAGATGATCAGTTCTTATCTACCCTAAATACAGCATTTACTTTTGGTTTCCCTCTACTTCCCAGAAATTTAGTACAAAGGAAAAATATAATTTTGATACCTGTCTCTAAATTCATCATGATTTTAACCCTGAAGACTCAAAAAGTTCATCCTCAACTAGACGTTCACCTTATCTTTTGCATTTTTCTTGTAAATGTTATAGCTTGGTGATTGTCCAGTAATATTAAATGAGAATGTGATTATTGTCTCATGTAAGAGGATTTAATGTCTTATAGGTTGAATGTTTTTTCTTAATTATTTCTGATTATTGAACTTCTTTGGTTTTTGTTTTTAATGTGCAGATGAACAAGATCCTGAAGATGTGTTAGAAGAATGTCAAGAATCTTAAGCAAATATGTACTGGGGTATGCCTTTGAGAAAGTTGGAAAATGAAGTTAAATTACGTTTTTCGAGAATTCTTTGAATTCAGAGTTCAATAGTAGAGATCATTCCTCAAATAATGTTTTTAATCTTTCTGGATTACATTTTCTTGATATTTTTGAAGTTTGTGATACAGTTGTTGAAAGGCTTTTCTTCACTGAAATAGGAATATTGCTTTTATTTTCTTTATTGTGCATCATCAGGGATACCTTATAAAAACCAACATTTTATGTATGTGTGTTATGGTAAAATCAGTTGAAGTACTGTGATTGCTTTGTATTTGATATTATATGTTACAGCTTTCTAGTTTGGTCACTATGAATTTGTTTTGACCCTGCTTTTCCTTCTTTCTTTTCCTCTAATGCCCATTAAGTAAGTACCATTTGCCATAGGAAGAAATGAATTTCCTTAACCAAGCAATGTCAGGATGTGAGCCTTTACTATCTTAGTGCAATGACAATTTTATTAAGTGGGAGTTTGACTGATTATTTGATATATCATCTTCAGTTTGTTATTATCTATCAAAATTTGCTTATTAAAATAGAGAGAAAAAAATCAGCTACTTAAAACAATTGTAGTACTATTTCAAGAGAGAGGGTTTATCTAGTTGCAAGTTAATAACCTGGATTCATATGAACATTTTATGTCAACATTCCATATAATGAATTGGCATTAAAACTAGAAGTCTAATTTATTTGTGATTAAAAAATGAGCTGACTATTGTTCTGCCTTTAATGAACTTTGAGGTAATATATATGTAACATTATTATTTTATTATTTTTTGCTGGCACAGTATGATCTCTGCTCTTGATACCAGATGACAGTAGTGATTGCTTATGTCAAATTTCCTTGACTTTTTAAAATGTAGAATTCTTTATTATTTTCAGAGGAATCTATTAGCAATTTTTTTCAGGTTTCTTCTTTCAGTTTGTATTAAAATAATTCATGCTGATGTCAATGTGCTACAATATAATATATCTGCATGCCGAGGGTTTTGCAGTGGATGCCTGCAGAAGTTAAAAGTCATGACTTTAGATTCTTGACATGTTATTCTTGTGTATCTTATAGGGTTTGGGTTAAAACAATCAGAAGGGACAGGTAAAATGGGTGGGAATTTGGAGTAATAACAGAGAGGAGCCCTATTTGCCCATCAACCTTTCAGAGAAGCTCAGCTTTCAAAACCAATGTGTATTTGGTATTTAGTGTGTGTGTGTGTGTGTGTGTGTGCACGGGGATGCTTATGACTTTATAATGTGTTTTTTTGGTGGCCATAGTGAATCTTTGGGTTACAGAGTTTAAGTGAAGGAAAGGAAAACAGACTGATCTTAAGTAATGAATTTTGCCACAAATTAGGTGAAACCATTATAGTTTGTCAACTGAAGGTACTTATAACAGCACTGGTAAGTTGCATTTATAATACAATTCAACACAAAGACTCCAAATTTATATATATATATATATATATATATACATATATATATATATATAAAAAATCAACCTGACCAGATGAGAATGTGCTCACATTAAAATCAGTGTTTTCATTTTAAGATTCTGTCTAGGCCTGTTTGCCTCTGAATAAGATAGAGAAGAAAAAGCATGAGAGAGAGAGAGTGAGTGAATTAACTTTAGGAATGGATTTAGGAGTTAACATTTGAGATTTTTTAACTTGTGACTTCTTAAGAAAAATACTTGGCACCACGGATGGTAAGTTCCCATGGGACCTACATTTTATTGCCTTCAATCTAACGCTTTGAAACACATGACAATAAACTCTTATAGGAGGAAAAAGCTATTATTTTGATGGTGTAATTTTAATTTTTAACAAGTCCATTACTTCGGTACAACCTACTGATTTGAAGATCAGCCTCAGAGTGAACATGGAACATGCCTGCGAGGAAGCTCCTGTTCTCAGACACTTTTTCTGACCCAACTTCATATTTTCAGTGTTTTCATCCACTGCCTGAAAGTGGATTAGAATTCTCTTTCAGGACTTCCTGTGTTGGGCTGCTGTGAGAATGAACAGTGTTCTGTTTTTTTGTTTTTTTTTACACTGCTGAGGGGAGCAGCGGGCGCGGCAGGAGAGGTCTGTGCGCCATGTGGGACCCTCGTGGGCAGCCAGGGATCAAACCGGAGGGGCAGAGGCTGTGGGCAGCCCCGCAGCCCAGCGCTCAACCGCTGTGCCACTGGGGAGGCCCGTGTTGGTTTTTTTTTTTAAGAATTCTTTTAAATCAATTTTCTCAATTCTGTAACCATTACCAATAGCTTCTAGTTCTTCCTACTTTACCTGGGTACCATAAAATGATTTGACAATCTATACCTATTTGTGATTGTGTTCTCCCAGATAGAACAGTGTTTTTAGAATGAGAGAGAAAAGAACAAGTGAGAAGGATTCTGTCTCACTCAGACATTCCTTTCTAATGTTTAACACACCTCAATGCTGACCTTTAACCTATTCATAAAATGTCTTCTTCAACCTGTTCTTACTAAAATTAATTGGTGTGCATTCCATACTCCTTGGTTAGCCTACCTGAAACTCAAGATCTGCTTACTTTAATGCTTTGGTCTTCTCCTCATGAAATAATTTGATAGCTTATATGTATATACAGTCTTAGGATTCTTCTAAATCTGCCATTTTCTTTAGTCATATGTTTTTGACCAAAGGTATATTCACTCTCCAAAAAATGCTATTTATAATATTTGGCTAACTTTTTAAGGATACATCCTCTCTCATTAACACTTAATTCTAAACTTCTCCACCACATGGTTGCCACCTGGCCAGTGTCATCATTCATGGCCATAAATGTAGTTGTAAGAGTAGCATGTGCTTCAGTCCTGTTTTTCCCTCTGTTTTCAGAAAATATAATTTGAAGACAATTCAACAAATGACATTAGTAAAATATGAAATTGCAACCTTTGTGCTTCTACATTCTTGAGGGTGATTTCATTTTCCTATGTTTTTATTATGGGAGGCTAATATGATTTGTTCTTTTATTCCACAAGTCCAGCAAATGTGCATTCTGAACCTACCCCTGAGCAACTCAGTCATCCTAAATCATAGGAACTGTGGATGTCATTATCACATACTATCATTCCATGTTGTGTGTGTTGTATTGGTTTAAGAAGGGGCCTTACGCATATCTCATAACATAGCAGGTAGAGAATAAACAAACACGGATACTATAAGTATAAATATAAATTTCCATATGATTTATTGGTGTTCCTTGTACATAAGAAACAGTAATATACAACTTACACTGCTTTAGAATGTAAAATGGATAAAAATGTGTACAAAAAAAGCACATTCCTAGAAAAAGGTATTGGCAAACAGTAAAAACTGGGGGGAGGGTAATAAGCGAAAAACAAATCAAAACCAAAACAAAAAGAAAAACCAACAATTCTTCAATTCAGTGTGCAAACATTTTATAAAAATAGAAATACTAACTCTACAGGCAGTATTTCCTGATAAATTATTTAAATAGCATATCTACACAATCTGAGATATCTATTCCAATGGCAATGAGAAAATAATTTATAAAAATAAAGCAATGGTATACAAGATGACAGGAAAAAACGACTTTTCAGAAAATGTATTTAACATTTCGATGCTATTTCCTTACTGGGAATACTTTTCTGCAAAGAATTTTTATACTATGTACAACATTGACTTTTTTAGGTACTACAGTAGCTTTAAGTTTGTTAGACACTTAAACTCTTTCTGCTTGATCCAAAAATTCTTTACTCAGTCACACAACAAATGAGGTAATATTTGTATATAAGTTTCACCTTAGTCATTTTTTTCTCTTTTGGAAAAATGAAAAAAAAATAAGTGTAGATTTTTTTTTTTTCTCCCTAGAAATTAGCATAAGGGATGGGGGTAAAACAGTATGAAAGGCCTCAAGGCTTTCTTTGCAATCTAAATACGCTTGCAAATGGACAACCAACTAACTCCACTTGAGAAAACAAAGGGGAAAAGAAAAAAGAATCCCAGATCATTCACTCCGGAGCATGAAGTGAAGAGCAGTTCTGCATGTTGATTTTCCTTGTGCTGTTCTTGGGCCAGATTTGCTGGCAAATCTCAGATCCCTGCTTCCCAACACTTTCCATATGAAACTAGATTCCAGGTAGAACAGAGTTAATAAATAATCTGTATTTACAATCTTACAGTCATGAAGACTCACAACAAAGATGATATGGATGGTCCTCACGCTTCTTCCTGTTTCATGAATCGTCTTTCAGACAGATCCTCCAAAATAAGTAAAAAATAAATATTTTACATTGTAAAGTGTTTGTCAAAAAAAAAAAAAATACAGTCCAAAAGAGAGAATTGGAAAACTCCATGATAGTTAGGAAAAAAGGAAAAAAAAGGAATGTTTTAGTTGAGTTGATAATTATTTTGTGCCTTTCTAACCATAAAAATAGAAGCACAGCAGCTCCTCCCCTGAGAGGCAGCCTAGTGCTCACTGAGATGGTAGGTATTTTTTTATTTTCCTGCTACATCTGCACAAGCTACATCTGGAATAAAACCAACAATTTCATTATAATCAGGCAGGGGCAGCCAGCACTGCCTTACATTGGTCCAATTCTGACTTCCTACTCCGGTCACTACAGTTGACAGGTACGGGGGGCGGGGTGCATGGGGGTTATCGGGAGGTATTGGGAGGTTTAGAAGCCCATCTTCTCCTCCCTTCCCTGCTTCTATTTAAGTGCCTATTTACTTGGGTTAATCAGCTAACACCAGTCAGCATCATGAAATCCAGCAATAGTCTTTCAATCCCCTGAAAATGATTTGGTACCGAACATGTCATAGTTCCTCCATAGTTTCTTCATACAATCGTCTCTTGGGTATGTGCTCTCCCCTAAGGGCTGGGGCCAGTGCTCCCCCTGTTCCAGAGGGAGTATATCAGGGGTGTTTTTTTCACTAATTCTAATGAGTCCTCCCTACTCTCACATGCCTGAAAATACTTTTGAGTCCACTACTCAGAGATGGCCTCACAGTAGCACCCTGCTCTATGCTAAAAAAAACGAGTGGAGCAGGCACCTCCCAAATGAAGCAAGTGGATGCTTTTGCTTATGTCAAAAGCACCCCATAGGAATTGTTTATAGCCTTGGAAGATTCTCTTCTCATTCAGAGGCTGACTGCTGAGTCTGTTTTGGAAAACTGCATTTTCTTGAGGCATGTTCTAGGAGTCCACACTGATGCAAGCAGAGAAAAAAGGCAGGCAGGGAGGAGTGATCCTGGGTTTTCTCAAGCCCATGGTTCCAGAAGGTACAATACCAGCATGGTTATGATCAGTCTTTTGAACAAGTTTGAGGATTAGGAATCTGTTAAATAAATATAGAAATCAAAATATAAACAAAAACGAATTCATAAAGACATTTGTCATCAGTTAATTAACAACCTAGGTTTAGATCTACTTTCATAATGACAAAAGCACAGTTTAACATCATTCAAATACATTAGCATGTAATTTTATAAGATGATGTTGATGCTAGGAAATTGACATAGCATGACCTGCCAAAGTTTATACTATGCTTTCTAGGGAGTTTTATTTAAAAAAAAAAATCAGCAGCTCTCCTGCCTGCCTGTCCCTATATAGGTTCCTCTCTTTTTCTTTGTCCTTCTGAAATGTTAAAAAAATCAGATTCAAAGAGTATCTTTGAGAAACTTGCAAATTTGCAAATTATCTTACTATAATTTATAAATCATAAAATATAAATTTCATGGAGTATAATCAGTCATGGAGCATAATCATCTTTTTTTACTGATCACATGTGTAGGCATCAGGCCTTAGACCAGTAAACATTTACTAAGCACTTATTTTTTGGTAGACCCAATGGTGGGTTCAGTGCCTTGGCCACTCAGAGAAAGAGTGGAGGAAAAAAAGCTCAGGTTAGAAGAGAAAATTAAGAAGCCATTAGGAAGGCAATACTCCTTTCCCCTCGTACAGGAAAAAAACTGTGATGGAATAACATGACTAAAACTAAGGCATGTGTAAGATATAGAAACAGGTAACATTGAAAAATATTACTAGTGTGGCTTATACTGTACATGAGCTGGCTGCTGTTTACCTTTACACTGTGTATGAAGAATACAGAGATACTAAACAAATTAATATTGTTAATAAGAATTCAGGATTTTATAAGTAACAGCTCAGAGGAATTACTTCATTTTCATTATTGTGTCTTCAAAAGCAAAATATCCATAACCCTGTCTCTACAATAGCCTTTAACTTAGACTTCCCCATAATTGGCATTTTCGATATTCGTCTCAATTAAGGATGTCAACTGTACATTCAGTGTAACGTTGTGCATACCTCTGCATTCATATTTCATATCGGAGAAGAATACCATTTCTTGAGAGAAGACAAACAATCCTAGCCTACCACCAGCATAGGTTTTGTCATAGATGGGTCCTGAATCAGCCATAATTTTCTTCCCTTCGTACATCACCACTCTGCAGGGAAAAAGAAAATCTTATTAAGACACCCCCACTTTTTACCTCCATCTTGCCCATCAGTATAACGGTAAGTGAAATTATTTTTTTTAACTGTTTTCATTGAGTTAAAAATGGTTTACAACACTGTACATGATTTAGGGGTATAGGTTCACATCTCTTCAGATGTATGTTACCACACCATGTCTACCACCAATCCAAGTGAAATTTAGTCAGGCAATCTTACCTGATGTAACCAGTCTTTGGCCTGTGGCTAAGACGCCATCTGTAGGCGGTGAAATCTTTCCAGCCTATGTTGCGGGGGTCATGCCACAGAGTGCGCACCTGAAGGAAAAAACAAAAGGTTGAGACACAGCTCTATTGTGTGAACATTTGTGTATCATTGCAAAGATACAATCCTTGAAAGGTGACAAGTGGACCTATTTGAGGGCTGCAATATAGGGTGTTTTCCCAAGGCCTCTTTCATTTGTTGTGTGCTCTAGAATACATAAAAAGCAGGAGACAGGAAAGGAACTCTTGTTTTAAGAGGCTATGGCTGTCTTTGGATTTGAAGGGTAACTCTTGGTTTTGTCAGGCTCCCTCTCAGACACTATGACATTTTCACAAAGTAGAGCTTAATGCCGTAGTTGGTGATCTGGGAACCTGATATTTAAGACACCCAACAGGGTGCCTTGGCCACAGGACAGCATTCCTACTGCTAGTCCAGCACCCATTCACTCTCTCCCTTCTACAGGGCGTTATTCTTACCTGGCCAGGGGTGTTTCCTGTGTGCCACAAAGCATTTCGCAGGTGCTCTCCAGGGCCAGTGGTGGAGTTCACAACTTTCACAGAAAGGCCTGAGTATCCTTGAGCCTTCGTAGGGTTAGTGTCCCAGTAGGTCTGAGTGACTTGCTTCCACATCACAACGTAGAAGCGGCTGCTGGACTGGTAGCCAAACACAAATCCGGCATAGTCATCATCCCTCTCGGTGTTGATGAAGAAGGTGCCACTGAAGTCCACAGCATTAAACTCATCATAACCTGAAAGATGAGGCCAGACCAGGTTAAAATAGACAGCCTGCAGAAGATTTTTGTTCTCAGTACCCATAGGGACACCTGCAACACAACTGCTCGGTTTTGTATTTGCTGCTTTTCCCATGTGTACATTGACCTTTTGTTCTAAGAACTCACTACTCACCTACAGCAAGTCCTGGATCACAGTTGACAGTCTGGACAAGTTCTTTACCCTGATGGCGTACAACCCAGTTAGGGTCATTTTGGGATGTCCCCTTGGGATCGAGAGGAATCATCTGGAATCGACGGAAATCGGTTTCACTGATATCAAAATTTTCAGGGCAGATGTCATCAATGTCTGGCACACTGTCATGATCAAAGTCATCTTTGCAAGCATCACCTCGACCGTCACCTGAGGTCAAAAAAGGCAACAGTTCAGTGAAATTCTGAAATACTAAGATTATTGGTGTGAGAAATTCACTATGTTGCTAGAGTTGGCATTTAGTCTCTCTTTCCTCTCAAATGCATTCAGCTTTGTCTTATTTCCTCCATCCAGAGAGTCCTGGTTTCAGTTATTCTCTTAAAAAGTGGCACTACTGACTCACCATCAGAGTCTTTCTGGTCAGGATTGGGCACGAGTCTGCAGTTGTCCCTGTCATCAGGAATGCCATCATTGTCATCATCGTGGTCACAGGCATCTCCCTTGCCGTCTTTGTCATGGTCAGCCTGGTTGGCATTAGGCACATAGGGGCAGTTGTCCAGGTTGTTCTGGTGGCCATCTTCATCGATGTCCTGATTGTTGTCGCAGGTATCTCCAATGAGATCTGAGTCAGAGTCGAGCTGAGAAACAGGTAAATTAAGTATAAATCATTTCTATTAAATATAACGTATGTAAGCTTCTCCAGTGTTTGGTTAGACCAGTGGGGACCTCACAATAGCAAATTTTAGCAGGAAGAAGCTGGACTTCGCACTTTTTCTTAACTTCATAAAAATAACCCCATTAAAAAAAAAAAAAGCTGTTTTTTAAGCTCCCAGAACAATGCACTTTAGAGTAAGTTTTAACTTCTTTGCCCCTAGAAAATAATCAATTACATAAAAAAAGAAAAACTTTCAGATCTGGATCCTGTTCTGCTTGTAGGTATTTATAGCATTCCCTAGCATAGCTAAAGAATAATCTGTTTGCAAAGTCAAACACTTGAAGAATGACAAAGAAACAGATTTCTCCAGTTTTTGGAAGTATTTTTAGTTTACAATATCCTTATGGCTAGATTGTATCATATGCTATGAAAATGGTTGTTTATTTTGCTTAAGGATTTTTCCCCCAATTTTTAGTCTTACATACATTGTTATATGATTATCATAGAGTTGTCAGTCACAAATTCCCACTTTGTATAATTTTTCTTGACAGTGGTGGATTACCCTGAGCAAGCCACCTTGTGGAAGACAAGCTTGAAGTTACAAGATCATCTTGCTAAAAATCCACTGGACTCTGCAAGATCAGGCAACCTGCTTATGTCAAAAGACTGCAGTTACCTCTGCAATCACTGAGAGCCACGGTAATGAAAGTTTTTCACTTTCTAGAGGCCTAAAAAGGGATATTCCAACACTTTACTGAGCGATTCCCAGGGGAGCCCAATTACCTGATCTGGATTGTGTTCCAGGGGGCAGTTGTCACACTGATCTCCAACCCCATCCATGTCAGTGTCCCTCTGGTCCACATTGTACACATACTGGCAGTTGTCTCTTTCATTGAGAATACCTGCGGAGCACAGGGGACAAATAAGAGCTGGCACCTCCAGCCTCGGAGGGCTCAACCACAGCCAGGGCTGGAGGGAAAGCTGGGAAAGCTGTGTTCACTGCTGCCTTTGGGCTCACTGGAGTTGGGGAGCACCTTACCATCTCCGTCAATGTCTGCAGCACAGGCGTCTCCTTCCCCGTTTTTGTCTGTGTCAGCCTGATCTGGGTTGTGATTATAGGGGCAGTTGTCACAGCGGTCCCCGACATCATCTCTGTCATAGTCATACTGGGCTGGGTTGTAATGGAACGGGCAGTTGTCCTGCAAAGTGAAGAAACAGCACTCTGCACCAATGCCCGGGAAACCAGCGCAAGCCTCAAGCCACACAGGTCAAGTATATAAAACTGCGGAAATCCGCCATAATGACTTTCTACTCAGTGGATAAACTCAGTACTTAAGGTAAAATGGTGACTATACAAGTTAAAAGCTAGGATGCAATGAATGAAAAATGGATTCCTGTTGGTTACAAGTCAGTGAGATGTAAATATAATTTCATTATCTCAGGCCTCAGTATGCCCAAAGTAAATTTTACAGTACTTTAGATAAGGGCATTTGTAATAAATCTGGGGAGCAAAGTGACATTTGTTGATATGTTATCATTTCTTGTTCAAGTATGGAGAGGGATGGGAGTTAGGATGAAAAACAAAACCCTCATTAAAAAATTCGCTTGGCAACATCAATACCTTCACCTCCTGAAACATAATGAATAATTTCTAATTATCCTTTGTCTCAATTGGGAATATTTTTTCCTCTAACACTGCAATTTCATTGACTATTAAAGTGTTTCAGGCTACTGCTGACTAGAAATGATGAAAGAGGAATAGAAAACACCTTGTCCTTACCCTGTCGTCTGGAATTCTGTCATTGTCATCGTCGTCATCACAGGCATCGCCGATCCCATCCTTGTCATAGTCTTCCTGCCCTGAGTTTGGAAGGTTAGGGCAATTATCCTAGGAGAGAGGAGACGCACATTATAGCTGTGGTTTGCATTCTTTTTGCTTAGTTCAGGCACGAGGGAGTGCACCCATCCTAAAGAGAGAAAGAACCAAATGCTGCTTCGTTAAGAGCATTTATTTTATGGGAAGACCACAAATTAAATGTTTTCTTGAGGGATATGTGTGTGTATATATATATATTTTATTTGTATTAATGCCCCTAGGCGTTACACCTTCTGGGGACAAGGTCATACTCTGCTGGTATTTGGTAGCGTACGGAACATTTTGGGGGGACAAAAAAATTGACAATGAAACATTTTCCAAATGGCCTGCCCTGCGCATGTGCTTTGTCCCAAGTGATTTAATAGTAACGAGAGTGAGTGTCACTCTGCCTTTGGGTGATTTAGTTTTCTGTTCATTTTTGAATTTTAACCATTTAAAATTCCTAAGGCTTCCTTTTGAGAAGGATAATGTGCCTTTTCTCTGGAGGTGCGTGAGGGACGCTGGCTCTACCTTTTTGCAGTGGTAGGTCGCGTTGGCCACGCACACCAGGTCCTCGTTGGGCCAGCCGTCCAGGTCCGTGTCTTCCCCACAGATGATGCCGTTGCCCGCGTAGCCGGGCTTGCATTCGCAGCGGTACATGGGGTCGCTGTAGTGGCCCAGGTAGTTGCACTTGGCGTTCTTGTTGCAGTCGTGGGTCCCATCTGTGCAGGGGTTTCGGGGCTTGCACACCTGTGGGTGTGACATTCTGATGGTGACACGAAGCCTTAAAGGGTCTCCAGGTACCATGACAATGAGAACCCAGATCCCCGGCACCTTGAGTAGAGAGGATCTGGGGGGAACAGTGTGAGCCACTTTTCCTCCCTGCCCCCCGCCCCCCGCCGGGGGATACCCAAGTTACAGGCTGCCATGGCTTCATGTGTGTTTTTCTTGAAATTGCTCGGGACACAGGCATTTACAAGTCCATCAACACCCAGCTTACTCCAGAGTAGCATTTTCAAATGTGATGAACTCTTTGTCCCGATGGAATTTAAAATGAATTTTCATGTCATGTTCTTAAAAGCTAGATCGTACCTATACTGTTTGTGAAGGGTATGAAATGACATTCCTCCCATTCTGAGTTGTTTTGGTTGAGGGCAGGTCAGCTCTACTCTGGTCTACGAGTCTGGTTTACTCTACCTGTTTGTTCGCAGTGGCATATTCCACACCGCGGCCGAAGGGCTGTGGGCCAGTGAAGCGCGGTGGGCAGGGCAGGCAGTTGTAGCCGGGGTCTGTGTTCTCACACCTGTGCTCCCCGTTGTGGTTGAAGCAGGCATCAGGCACTTCTTTGCACTATGGAAGCAACAAGAGTTGGCTTAAGGTCTAGAAAACACCGCCATATGGCAATGACTTGGACAGGTCTGCGTTCCTGCTGTCAGTTCCTCACCTCATCAACATCTTTGCACTGGATGCCATTTCCACTGTAACCAGGGGGACAAGCGCCACATTTCCAGCTGCCGTCAGGGTAGCTCGTACACTTGGTACCAGCAAAGCAGGGGTTGGACAAGCATCCATCTGAGATGAGAGAGCCAGGCAAATGGTTGGTCTAAACTGCTGTTACCGTCATGCTGGTCACTTAGCAACCAACCCAGTATAAAATACTGTGGGTCTATGTCATTGACAACTTGTTGAGATTATGTTGTCCATCTGCATTTTTAGAGTCATCAAACCACTCACAACCATTCAAAGCCAACCCTCCCACCCTGAATTCTGACTGTGGCATTCAGTTAAAAAGAAATGTTAAAAAAACAACAACTTCAGGCTGGAGCATGGCTCACCAATTGGACAGTCCTGCTTGTTGCAGATCTGGTTCTCCGTCATGTCACCGATGCAGTCCTTGCCTCCAAACTGGGGTGTGGGGTTGTTGCAGAGCCGGCTACGTTTCTGCACCCCTCCTCCACAGGTGACAGAGCAGATATCCCATAGTGACCAGGGACCCCAGCCTCCATTGACTGTGAGAAAATGAACCAAAATTAAAACGTTACAGTCAGTTTTCAAAACCTTTACCTGTCACAACAGACTCTTAAGTTTGTCCAAGCCACTTCTGCTACTGACACATGGAAAGGAGGAGGTGCGTTTGAAATGGTTTTCTTTCTGTTTTTCATTAAAGAGAGAACTGAGCATACAGGACTTTGCTCTAGGAAGTAATTTTTCCCCCTTCATCACCCCTCGAACCAAAGGCCACAGGTGGGCAGGGCTGTGGCTGGGCACTCAGCAGTTCCACTGCATTCACACTTACTGGGGCAGGCATCTTTCTTGCAGAGTTTGGTCTCCCGTGCTTCGCCTTCACATGGTTTCCCGTTCATCTGGGGGCTGGGAGAGTTGCAGAGCCGAATCCTTGTGATGACGCCATCACCGCATGTCACCGAGCAAGAGGACCACGGGGACCAGTGGCTCCAGCCTCCGTCCTGCTTAACTAAAGCACAAAGCCGACGGTTACAGTGTGCTCCCCACGAGCCAGTCTCTGTGCTGACTGCTTTAAATGCATCATCTAAATAAAATCTCAAAACAGCCCTATCAAGAACTATTGTCATCCTCATTCTGCAGATGAGGAAGTGCCTCGGAGAGGGCAAGGTGTGCTGCAGGGCACACGGTAAGTGGTAGAACTGGGATTATTCAGAGTCCAGAGCATGCGCTCTTCACCTCTATGCTACAGAGCTGCTGTAGCTGATGAAGGACAGGCATTTCTCCACATCCCAAGGGACCAAGATGCTTACATCTCTTATCACACTCCTGAATGTGGCAGGTCCGTGTCTGAACGGAGGAGCCCTCGCATCGGTTGTTAAGGCTGTCGCAGGAGCGGCCACGCTGCTGGATTCCATTGCCACATGTCACCGAGCAGGAGGTCCACTCGGACCACGGAGACCAGCCATCGTCTGCAGAGTCACTGGCTGCAGGAGAAACGAGTTCCTTTAGCGCATGATTATGAAGACAAGCTACTGTTTAGACTGTTCTGTTTTGGACTTTCTTCCCGTGCCAGCGGGTGAAAAGCAATATATTCCCTAGGCCCAGAGCCAAGGGGTTTATCCCAGGTCATTATGGGCACAGCATGTGGGTAATCGAGCCGTATGCCAGAGTCAGCACAGCACGCCTTCTCCTAGTGAGTCTGCTAGCCACTGTTTCCTCCCTGCTCCTCTCTGAGCATTTCAAATGAACTTCCCTTCCCTGCCTTAAGTTATCTGGGCAAGCATTTCCAGCCTCGGGCTCCTAAGAGTACTAGAGTTTGAGGCAGCTCATAGGAGTCACTTCTTTCACGGGAGGCACCATGTGTTTGCAGGGGACCTTGAAGGCAGCTCTGCTCTTGGCCCTGGCTCCAAGTCGACCATGAGGCTAACGGTGTGCTGTTCCTCTCACTCTAGCAGTTGGGGCCTTCTCTGCACATATTTTCACAGAGGTAAGTGTGTTTGTTTACCATCTACCCAGGCACCATGACTACAATCACATCTAGCTGTATCAGACCAAGGACTTGTTTTTTCTTGCCATCAGTTGGCAGTTTTCCTGGCAAGCTATAATTTAAGTGCAGATCTCTGCTAGTCTCCAGCTTGCTTCGTTCCCTTTACCCTACACCCCAAGTGAATGCTAGGACAGACAGATACACAGATGGTTATTATATTGCCAACATTGCTAGCATGATCCTTGGATGGGACTGTTTATTTTGAGATGTGGCCAGTGGGTGTAGGGGCGTGTGTGAAGGCAGTGCTCTGTTCCTATCTTCCTTATCTTAGTAATGGTGAGTCACTTTTATGACTTATATCTACTATATTAAGTATTGTTTCAATAAAGTGATTAATTTATACTGGCAACAAAAACCGGGCAGAGGGTGCCAGGGCATGACATAATGCCATAATGCCTTATTTCTTTTAGTGTCCTGAAACTCAAACTGCTATTATTTCCTTAGCCTTCCTATTCCTGCAGATAAAATGGGCAACACTTTCAAGTTCCGCTAAGCCCAATGCTAACACCATAGCCCATCAATTTCTCTAGTGAGCAGGTTTGTCTTAACTCTGAGCCACTCAGGTCAAATTCTGAAAGCAGTCAACTTAAAGCTATGGCTGCTATAAATTTATCTCCTCTTTCTTCAAAACATCCAATCAGGATCAATAAACTCTAGTAAGGTCATTGCTGCCTATACCATCACATGATGGTGTTTTGGTCTTAGCATACCAGCCTAACGGTCGTATGTTCACCAGCTGCTGCTGAATAAAAACATATGCTAGCAATGGGTGAGGGCTCTAGTATGTTCAGCTATCTGGTGTTTCGGCAGAACTCACTAGTCAACGAGAATGGTTATGCAGTTCTGGGAACTTACGCCAACACCGCGGGCAGCATTCTCCATCAGGAACTGTGGCATTGGAGCAGGGCATGATGGGGCAGGACACTTTTTTGCAGATGGTAACTGAATTCTGCAGGGCAAGAGTGAGGGGGAATGGGTTACTACATTACAAGATGAGTTTACATACTATATTTCCATTACAGACTGAAACAAATATATTTGTGGCCACCAGTATAGTAGATACAGAGCTGGGGCTAGTTACTTGTCACTCCATGTCCATTGGAGAGTTCTGTCTTCATTGCTACTTAATGGTGGGAATGACAGCATGAAGAAATTTTCCAAAGGAAACCACCAGAAGACTTTATGAGTCAAATTTATTAATCTATATCTGATATTGAGCTCATGAAACTCAGGCAGGACTTTAACATGTTTTAATGTTATTTTATGGGGAAAAGAACATCAATGATGTCCCCTCCCCCACCCCCCAACTGTAGATTATATCGGAGAAAAGTGTGAATTCAATGAAGTTGGTCCAAATCCGGCACTTTGATTTAAAGTTAAGCTTGACTTTGCTCAGAGAGCCTGGCAAAGCCCTACATTTGCCTGCCACCGGCACAGGGGAGAGCTCGAGTGAAACACTGCAGGCAGTGCCATCTGAACCAAGGAGATACTTCTAATAACATTGAGCTGAGTGATTGGAACCACCATCAGTACTGTGTGAAAGAATCTCTGTCACAGCTGAATATAAAGCAGCACTGGGGGCGGGGCGGTGAGGGGGAAGGTATTCTAGACAGGTTTTATGTACCTGACATTCAACACTTAGCCTTTGAACTGAAGCAGTTAAATTATTCAGATGTCTTAGAAGATTTGCTTTATTTTAGATACTTAGCCTGGGGTGTAATTAAGGCTTTGAAAAACTTTCTGAGAGTTTAAAGCATTTAGTGATGCCATAATTGCATCTTAAAAAAAACCTGCTTTGGTATCAGCCCTAAGAACAGGAAAAGTATTTGTGAGGCCATTTGGGTATTTCCTGAGATGGTGGCTTCAGACACATGGCATCGACTCCATTTTCAGTCTGTAAAGCACCCTTACCTGACAGTGACACTCAGTGCAGCTGTCAACAGTCCATTCGTCGTTGTTCTTATACTGAACTCCATTGTAGTAGCAGTGGGGAGACCTCCTCAGCTCACTGGCCAACACTCTATTCTCCTCAGTCTAAAAGGAAAAAATCATCAGTGTCCAGTTTCAGTCATTTGAGATCATCCCTGATACACCTTCAGAGACTCATGGGAAGGGGCTGGGGGCCGAGGCCACTCACCACTTTGCGAATGCTGTCCTGAAGTGTCGTCATGATGGTGCGAAGGCCCCGGAGCTCCAGGACCATGTTGGATAGCTCATCGCAAGAGATGCCACAGATGGCTTGCAGATCCTTTGTCTTGTGGCCAATGTAGTTGGTGCGGATGGCAGGGCTAGAACCATTCACTACGTTGTTGTCAAGGGTGAGGAGGACATTGGTAGCTGCCAAGCAACAACAAAAAAAAACCCAAGCACAATCAGAAAAGTAATGCACCTTCAAATAGTCATTTGAAGTAAAAGACATTTCATCTGTCCCTAGTTGTAAAAGACATTTCATCTGTCTTTTACATGTGTGGAATACCCTTAAGGTCACTTTTGTATACCACTTGACTGTATTTCCCAGGCTAACTTATACACAACCACCACTGCTTAAGTTTCATTAGGGGTGGAGTTCCCTCGATTTCCCCATATGCCCTGAAAATAGAAGGGTACTCACAGCTGGAGCAGCCTTTGTTCCTGAGGATGTCTTCTGGTGTGGTTCCAAAGACAAACCTCACATTCTGCAGCACCCCCTGTGGGCAGAGGACACATCACTTAGAGAGTTTGGGGGCATAAATGGGTGGGGGAGACTGTTTATGCTAGGAAAAGTACACAACAGATGGTCTAAAAGTTTGAAAGAACTCCCTTTTAAGATCACCGTGTCAAAATAACACACTAACATAAACTGCCAAAGACTTCAAAATCTTAATTGTGTCTTCTGCCAAGTCAGTATTTTACAAAGAATTCAGTTTATCAGCCTAATTGGATATACAGGAAATGGAATCTGATACTAAGACTGGAGAATAGAATGACACTTTGCAGTGTCAAAGACTAAATGTGGGTGTTTCAAAGCCACAGTCGCAAAGATCTAGACATTAAGGCAAGGAAGAAGCTGCAGTAGCAGATAACCACTATTTTACCCTTTTACTTGAGATCAACGAAACCCCCCTGAGGAATCCAATAGCAAAGTGGTATTTAGTCTGCTCATCTGAGTGTCCATCAAGTAATATTAAAACTGGTGGAATGCATTTGAAATAAGTTGTTTTCTTGCAGAAAGCACAGGGAGCATCTAACCCTTGGAATGGGCTGTTCTAGGAAAACCATTTCTTGTTTCCTTTAGTGGTTTTCAAAGTGTGGCCCTCAAAATACCAGCATCGACATCAGCCTCACCAGGGACTTGTTATAAACTCCCAGGCCCACTCCCGAACTACTGGAACTGAACTCTGGGGTGGGGTGCAGCTGCATATGTTTTAAAAGCGATTATGTGGCTGTTTTGAGAACCACTGCTTTCCTGTGAGGGCATATTTCCTGTTCGGGAACCCCTCCTCCCCTGACAGGTTGGCTACGGAGCAGTGGACCCAAGTGGGCCAGGGATGGGAGAAGAGGCTCACCTGGAAGTTGTCGTTGACATGCCCTTTTGCAATGCGGAGTCTGGCAATGCTGGCCAGGTCCCTGGTGAAGAGTCTTTGGATGGGGACGTCCAATTCCGCACCCTCCATCTTCTCACAGTCGATGTAGAGCTGGGCCCTGTCCTCCTGGACAAACAGGGTGATGCTCTTCCACTGGCCCGTCGCCAGGAGCGCTTCTTCCACGGACACCACATGCTGCCTCCCCTGCACGTTCAGGCTCAGGTCGAGGGTGCCCGCTTTGCCATTGGAGACCACGCTGAAGACCTGGCCAGAGTGGTCTTTCCGCTCCACGGCCAGCAGTGTGCCCCGGGTCTTCTTCATCTGCCTCAGGGAAGCCAGGAGGAGGAAACCTTTCTCTGCCCGCACGGCATCCACCAGGTCTTGGAACTTGTCATCAGGTACCGGGGGAATCAGGGTGGCATCCTCAATGCGGAAAGCTGGGCTGGAAGGGTCAGGGCCCTTCACCAGTCTGCGGCCAGAGCCCTTGCGGGCAGCTCCGGTGAGCTCGAAGATGTCAAACACACTGTTGTCTCCCCCAGACTCTGTAGGACAGGAGCAGAACACAACTTTTTAAACTCGGGCCGGGGTTTGAGGGGCTCAACTCTGAGGGTGGGGCTGGAGGGACAGGCTGAAAATTCCTGGCAGTTGCCAGAAGGATGCTGAAATGCCATCATTGGAGAGAACCTGCTTCCTGGCGTTCTGTCAGGGATCAGGGGAGAAACAGCTGGGAGGGAGGCACACCTGGGGAGCCCGGCACCACCTCCTCTTCCCTCCCCCCCACAAAAGGTGTTTTATAGACTCACCTGGAATGCTGTTGGAGCCACACACATGCAACAGGAACAGGACACCGAGTGCCCAGGCCAGCCCCATGATGGAGCTGCTTGTGCCCAGCAAGGAGCCTGCAGCGGGAAGCAAGCACAGAACCAGGGTCAGAGGTGGCCAAGCGGGAGGATGGGCAAAAACTGGGAGCGGGCTTGGGGCCATGGCCCTAGGGATCCCCATCTCACATCCCCATACCCCACATTTGCTGGAATGAGGGGCAACACTATTTAACTTTGGACAGGGCATAGGGGAGAAAATTAGAGTCAAGGGAAGGAAATTGTGCCTTTTAAAGTAAAGGCTGAGGGACAAAGACCAACAATTTGGGTTTCCCCCAGGGTGCAGAGCTGGCCCAGGAGATGCAGTTTGGGGGCCCTGGAGGGCCCGGGGAAGCAGAGACTCTATAGAGCTGGCAGAAAGGATTAGGGGGAGCCTGGAGAATAGAAGGGGACCTCGGGGTCCTGAGGAGTTGGTATGTGAACCCCGAGGGAAGAGGACAGTTTTGGAACCCTTCTTCTTGAAGAGTCTCCCAGAGGCTGGGAGGAACAAGCCAGGCAACGCGAAGGGGGAGCGCATAAGTCCTTGAGGGGATCCGGAGGTGGCTGGCCAGGGCAGTACCGGCCCTCGGCTGGCTGCGGGGGGCCCTTACCTGTGTCGACGTGGGCGCCGCGGCCGTGAGAGCCTGGCGAGGCACACCGCCCAGCGCGGCCCTGGCGAGGCTGGGGAGGGAGGTGCGCCCGGGGAGGCCGCGCCGGAGCGAGAGGCTGCGCGGTGAGAGCTTGCAAGAGCCGGGACTCAGCCGCAGGCTCGGGTGCAGTGGCTGGGGAGGCGGAGGAGCCGCGCGTTTTTAAAGGGGCGCTCGCATTCCTGGGGAGTCCTCTGGCCAATAGGAGGCGGCCGGGCAGGAAGCAGGAGGGGGGCCAGTCTGGGTTCCTTTCTCCGCCCCTCTGCTGCCAGGCGCACAACTTTCCAGCTAGAAAGTAAGTGGGGGAGGCGGGGGTCGGGCGGAGGAGCCCCGGAACCTTGCAGAAAAATAGGTGCCCGCCCACGCGGCCCTGGACCTCGCGGACTCAGCCTCCGGCTCCGGCGCGCGCGGCCGGTCCACGCAGGGCGCACACGCCCCCCCGAGAGAAGGGGCTCGACCGAGACCCCGAGAGGGGCTTTCAGGTGACCCCCATCTCCTGAAACGCCTGGGCCAAGCCCGTGTAAAAACAATGAGCCCGACAGGGAACAGGGTACCCAGTGCCGTGAAGGAAGTGCCCCCTTGGGTTCTGGTTGACCCTCATCAGCCCATCCTCGTGGGGAGGGTGCCCCGCGCCTGCCGCGCCCCGCGCCCCAGCCCTCGCCCCGCGCGCCCCAGGAAAGGAGGTGAGCGCGGGCTCGCGCGGCCCGCAGGAGGGGGTGCGCAGCTCGCGTTCCCGCTGCGCGTCGGACTCACTCTCCTGCTGTTGCGGGGCGCCCAGGTCCCAGGAAATCTTTGCCCAGGGCCGGTAGCTCTGCCGCGATCCGCCGCTTGGGGGCGGCATGCGGTCTCTGATGAGGGCGCCCCGCGAGGACCGCGTCTCCTAGTCAGGAATGTGGAGGGAACACACTCTTCACCCAGTCCCCCGAGCCAAAACTCAAATTGTGTCTTGAAAAACAGTTTTTGTGCCCACTCGTGCTTCTTAACGTGACTCCTGGTTGGAGGATTTGCAGAACCATCTGGCTCCAGGATCTTAAACTATTTACCAAACAAACCCAGAGGGTAATAAATTACCCTCTACCTTTCATCTTACTTCCTTTTTTCTCCCCTCTTTAAACGTGTTTTTTTTTTTTTTTTTTTTTTTTTTTCCCCGCCAGTTTTCGACTCCTGAAACCGAGGTGTGGGCACATGGCTGTGGGTACACCAATTGCCCTTGCTGCATGCTTCTGTCATTGGAAGTCTGGTCTCCAAGCCACTGTCCCCAGCCAGCATGACTCCAGCTGCCTGGAATTCCATTCATCTCGGCCGGCTGGGATGTGAGCAGCCGCTGCAGCTGCCGCCCTGCATGTCAGGCTGGTCCCAGACAGGGCATAGGTAGTAGCTTCACCAAATAAGGATGTCAGCCACAGGTCCAGGGAAAGCCCTGGGGTTCACCTCCCTTCCTTAGCTCTCACACCTGGCAGGACTCCTAACTGCTGGAAACACCCACGAGTTTACATTCATCAAACAACAATTTCTCTTCTCTTGAGTGGGAGTGTTGTGTGACAAGATACGGTGTGTGTGGATTGGGGAGTGTTTTCTAGTAACTCAGTATATACATCAGATACCTCTAGAAGATGACAGTGTGTTCCTAAGACACATTTGTTTGTTGCTTGAGTAATAACAAAACCTGCCAGAGGGATAGATTTCAGATGCTGAGAGACAGAAGTAAAAGTCTCTCTTGGACGATTAGTCAAATCAGATTCCTGTCCTGGAAGTCATGGGTAGTGATTCATCCAAAAACGGTTTTGAACAGTCAGCAGCCATCCGCGTGCCTCCCTTGCGTCTTCTTCCCTGCCATCTTGTTTGTTCCTTAAAAAGTACCAACACCTTTTCCATTTGCTACTAATTCTTCCTGACACCAGCTACTTAGGAACAGTTTTCAGAGGAATGGCTAACCGATGGCCCCTGTTCCTTTGCTCATTTTATGCAGAGCAGATGAGGGCTTGAGATCCAGGAAAGACCTACAAAAGCAGGATACAACTTTCCTTTTATAAAGGGATCATCTCCCTTAAGCGAAACCGTGTGGATGGAGAAGAAACTCACTGCGCTGCCCTTCAGGTTAGTGGCTTCTGTGGATAAGGGACCCTAGGAGAGGGTCCTTCCAGAGTTTTCTTGGAACTTGGCTTCTGTCAACAGACCAGGGAGACAAATGTTAACATTCTGCATCCATTTCAAATAGGAAGGTAGCCTGAGTGGTGTCAGGGAAGAACTTCATCATCAGATGTTAGAAGTTTTTTTTTTTTAATCTCAAACATAAAGTCACTGTACTCTAATTGTTACGGTAGAAAGGAAGGGGGTGCCTTTAGGAACTCACCTACACTCCTGTTGGCTGACATATCCTGAAAAGATCCCCCAGAAACCTAAATGCCTTTGGGAAGCTTTGAGAGGGTCGGGAGTGGGAGACGAGGAAAGAAACCCTACACCTTTAATGTGAGGGGTAATATCTCTCTAGTGTGTATATCCCTGACTTAGGAGTTCTGGGGGTTAGGGCCAAAATCTGACATGGACCTAAGTGATGGGCCTTCCGGGAAGAGCGTCCAATTTTTTGCCAAGTTGCCATCCTTGAGGATGACATATTTAAAATACCATGATAGGGCATATGACTTTTCATAGGATTTCCTTTTTGTAGTTCCTCTAATTGCATGTAGTCAGTATATTAGAGGACCCGACTGTCAGTAATAGCTAGTTTAAAAATTGTGTGTGATTAAGAAGAACTAGACAATTGAGAAAAAAGTTGTTTATCTAGCAAAGAACATCAAGGTGGATTGTGATTTTATGTGTGTGTGTGTGTGTGTGTGTGTGTGTGTGTGTGTGTTGGAAGTGTTCAGCAGTGGAAACTTTGTTACAAGTGAGCAGCCACCAAAATTCATATTCTAGAATAGCCCAAATCACAGCATCTTTAAAATGAAGACATCGTAAATTAATTCCCTTTGAGTGTTTGCCTAGATTTTGGTTCCAAAGTTCTTTTAATTCAGCTACCTTGATGGTCAGAGCCAGAGAGATTTTACCAGGGGACTTTTCTTATCCTCCAGTCCAACCAATCCAAGCTCCTCCTCCTTTATGAAATGTTCTCCAGGGTCTTTACGTTGCATTGTTATGTTGCATTGTTCTTCTTTCTGTAAGATTTTGAAGCATGTGCTATCTTTATCACCTAACTAGTCACCTTGCACTCTTTATTATTTAGCTTTTCAAAACCATTTTTTTATTTTCTTAAATATAAGCACTATATTGTAAATACCCAAAGACTTGGACTTGGGATGAGCTCTAATGTTTGACTTTCCAAATCCCTTTATGCTCAAGTTAATTTATTTATGACATAGACGGACTGATTTATTTACCATTTTCCTACCCAGCAATGCCATTTCATGTAGTTTTCAGTGGATGAGATGACTGACTCCCAAACATTGCACCCTTCCCCACAGGATTGAAGCAATGCTCTTGGGGGACTGATCTCCTGCGGAAGGGGTAGAACTGTTGGTTTAAGAGTTGGTTTCTCCACGGTTTCTCCTCCCCCTTTTCCAGCCAGTGACTGATTTGGAAATTAGCATCAGACCCAATTCTGGCCAATGAGATGTTTGCTGAAGACTTATGGGAAAGTCCTTTTCTTGTCTTTAATAAAGTGCCAGGTGAAATCAGGCTGTCTTATCTCCATGTGACCTTAACAGGAATGCTGACAAGCTCTGTTTGGTGCTCAAAGGAGCCCAAGTTAGCCTGAGACCATTGCTGGAGAAGGAAGAGCAGAGAGTTGAAAAGAACCTATGTGTTACACCACATTATTAAATGACTAAATCTACCAAGCGAAAGGCCATTGAGCCTCTGGATTATTTAAGCCAAGTTGTTTCCTGCTATTTAGAGCCAAAGCGTCATAACCCAGTCGCTCTTCTTCCTTCCTCTGGATTGCTTTTTCATGTATATTTTGCTTGAACCTCTTCTGACATCTATAGATAAGAGAGATAAGGATAGGTCAAAATGAAAAGATGTTTAAAAGACTTCACTTACATTATTAAAGCGCGTTTCTGAAAAGTCATACCTTTCTTTCTTCTCTGTCCCTTTACCAGTGGGTCACTCCAGCCCAATCTGAGCACTTCCCCCTGCTGACTGGTAAGGGTGAGCTTTCTTTCTCTCTTCCTTCTATCCTTGTATCCCTCTTTTGGGGAACTTTGAGATATAGTCCAGTGGATTCACAAAGGGAATACCCAGGATGAGCTGATCCTGAGAGAAAGAGCCAGGAAATTCATCTGCTAGGAAACCAGCCTGTGAGGTATTAAAAGGGAAAAGGTGAGAGATCTTAAAGGGAACCCAGAGAAGGGAGTGGGGAACTTAACCCGAAAGGAAAGTGAGGGCGTGTATGTAATAAAGATAATCCCCAATATTATCTCCAAATGCTGTCTTTGATAAGGGTGCTCTAGATAAGGGGTTCAAGGGCTGGGCAGGGAAGCCCAGGGAAGCATCAGGGAAGCCCATATTTGGGAGCAATCTCTCTGACTCCCCTTTCATAACTCTTCTCTCTATTCAATCTTTTTTTTTTTTTTCACTTTTCTTAAGGTATAACCGACAAATCAAAATGTAAGTGTACAGTATAATGATTGAAATCCACTGCTGAGGGGAACAGTGGGAGAGACAGGAGAGGTCTGCTGCACCATGTGGGTCACCTCCCTGGCCAGGAATCGAACTTGTGCTGCAGTGGCCACTGATAGCTTCATAGTGCTGAGACTTAACCGCTTGTACCACCAGGGAGACCCCAAATCATGGACATTTTTAAGCCAGAAAAAACCATCTGGTCCAACCAGTTAGAAAAATTTGGGTCAACGAGGTGAAGTGGTTTGAAAAAGGTCTTAGAGTCTCTTGGTGGTAGAAATCCAGAAAACAACTCAGGTCTCTGACCTCCAGTGTAGAGTCCTTCCCTTGATATCATTCTGCACTTCAAGATTCACTTCATATGATTTCAAAGATGTTTCACTGTTAAAACCAGCAGAAATGCCTTTTAGTTTGCCAGTAAAGAACAAGGTATATGCCTTGGACAGTGAGACCGGGAGACGTGGGAGACCTGGGAGGTGGAGGAGAGATGGCAGGGATGCGAAAATCAAAAATCGATTGTTAACCTTTGGTTAACACCCTTATTGTCTCTTCCCCCCACCCCCCTCCAGAGTCTCAGTTCTCCTAATCTTGACTCCCTTTCAAGTTTACTACTGCTCCTGGAGGGGTGTCACATTTTACTGGAGGTTGGGAATGCAATTTTCCTTCAGACTTACCCAGAAGGAACAAGATGGAGAATCACTGATTCTTTCACAGGTTTTGGTGAAGTAGAGGTGTTCTGACCTTCCCGGTGTGTAGGAGTCGTGGAATAATCTTCGAGCCCAGCACTAACCCATTCTTTTGTAGTGTGAGGTGGTTAGTTGTTCTGCCCTAACTGAAGAGCTCAGGGACCATCTCCGTTATGTACAGGAGCCACAGAGATGTTTAAAGGGCTGGAAAATAGTATAGACAAGTTAGTTTGCAGAAGAGAAGAATGTGTCTTCATTAAGTACTTCTTTTCTTATTGAAATTGTAAGGGCACTGATCGCATTTTCACAAAGGATGTGGAGCAAGAGCAGTATCTCTGGGGGCCTCCCCTGGTGGCACAGCGATTGAGCCCTGGGCTGCAGGCTGCCTGCAGCCTCTGCAGCACTGGTTCATTCCCCGGACACCAGCGAGGGTCCCACAAAAAAAAAAAAGAAAAAAAAAAAGAAAAAAAAAAAAGAGCAGTATCTTTGGAAATAATGAAGGGTTTCCTAAAAATGAGGATCATAACACATTGGAATGTTACTGAGACAGGTTGTGAAATGCTTCCTGGATGCCTTTACCAGTAGTATGGATTAGGCAGTTAATCTGGAGTCAAATGGCCTCCAGAGGTCCCCATGTAAGGAAGTCTATGAGACTGCAAAGCTATGGAGTTTCCAGGAAGTTTCCATGAAGGAGTTGGCTTGGATGCCGATCAAACACATACCCCCCCCAAAATCAAACTTTTCTGAGGTTCAGCGTGCTATTTCAAATCACCCATTTAAAAACTACAATTTTTCAAAATTTCTGACTACTCTTCACATGTGGAGTCCACATTAAGTGATCTTTTCAAGTTTTCTGTTGTCATTTTTTTTTTCCTGCAAGAAAATTACAAGTGTCAGTTAAAGGACTAAGACAAACGAACATGAGAAAACCCAGGACAATCGTGTGAAGAATTTGGAAGAGTAAATACACCATGGAGATTGGCATCTAACTGAAATCCGAACCAAAGACTTACAGGCACTGGGCTTTGTGAACAGCAACCAAATGGCTGAGTGACTGGACATTCGTCTTCAGTGATATCAATCTCTCGGGAGGTCGATTCCCCCGCTTTCCCTTTTTTAATAGTGAGATCATGACAACTTGCATTTTGCAGAATGGAGCCAAAAGAATGGTCACTCTTTCTAATTTAGGAGGGTGAGTGTATAGTCTGAAAAAAACCTTTTGATCTTATTATGACACCAAAGATAAACACCGCTGCTTCCCATGGAGGAGGTGTACGTGAAGGAAGCTTCGTTTTCTTTTCCCTCCTCCCTCCCTCTTACGTCTTCTTTTTCCTTTTCTTTCCCTTTCCGGGTTCATTTTATTTATTCACCCTTGTCCTTCATCTCCTCCCCTCACGGCCTTCATATTCTCCAACCTCCTCCCTTTTCTTCCTCTTCCCTCCTCCTGCTTGGGACTGTAGTGTAGATAAGTGTAGTAACACATGTAAATCATTTAGCTCATGACTATTCAAGGCCCTGGAGTTCACTTGTTTGAGTTCCAAGTGCTGACTTTCTTTAGAATTCTAACCGTTCCCTCCTTCCCTCTTTGTCCCAAGACTTGGAGGCAGAGGGAGTCTGTGTGACTTGACCTTCCAGTTCCCGCCGTCAGTCGTCAGTCTGTTCATCCTTCCTAAAGCATGGTGCACCTTGGGCCTCCTGATCTTGTTGAACCTGTTAGGTTCGGGGTTGGATTCCATAGGCGGAGGGCAGAGGTGTATTTACCCATGAGCTGATGCAGCTTAAGTTTCAGGGCCC